AAATGTTCACTTGCTGCCTAATGTCAGTGCTCATATTGTTATGGCTGATCAGTGTATGTTTTTTATTTAATTATGACTCAGTAAATGCATAAAGGTAATATATACAACAATGGGTACTGTATTCACTTTACTTATTGGTTTGATTTGCTTAATTTTATTTTTAAAGCTTAGTAAATCTGCCATAACAGGAATGAAAGACCCAGTGTGAATAAACCTGAGGATAATTAGACCCAATTCAAAATGTGATTAACCTTAATAAAATCCAATTGGAGAGACAACACCGCCTCCAGCAGCAGCATGATGGGACTGAAGAGGAGAAGCAATACATCTAATTTCCCCTGCAGTTCACAGTTTGCACTTTCTGTGGTGTTTGAGAAAAAGGTGACACACTGACATACAACAGGACCTTACCTAGCCACATTAGACTGGATTTGGACTTGGCCAAATTTGGGTCGGGTCTTGTTTTATTACAGAGGGGATTTGTAAAGATGACATGACTCAACCAAAATGACCATACTGTTATATAACCTGGTTTATTGGTGTCATACTGTTGTACAAACTGTTGTCAGTCCAGTAATCCAACACAAATATTTAAACTGCTTCTTTCTGGCCTCCATCACTGTACTGTCATTCAGATTTTGGAAGTCTGACCAGCCGGACCGGGGTGGTCCCAACAACAAAGAGGGCTGTGTGGAGATGTTTCACCGCGACCTAGTGCTGGCCAACTGGAAGGACGCCCCCTGTGAACACAAGCTGCGCTGGTTGTGTGAGAAGGATAATATCAGAGCATAATATGTGTATGTACATGTGAATTAATAAATGTACTTTTGTATTCAGCAGAACTAAGAAGTTCACATTTAAAAAAAATATGTAAAAATAAAACAAGCAGATCCCGTCAAGAATAGAAGACAAAAATGATCTTCAATACCTGTTAGTGTGAGTTTTGTTATTGATAGCCAACATACTAGATCAATTAATAGAAATAGAATCATCAGTTAAGAATCAATAATACAGACCATTGTAATGTAATTTAGTCCTCATTTATGCTTTGCACACATTGATTGCATGTAGAGTATTTGTCAAGATGTCATGAGCAGCTTTATAGTTCCCTTTTACCTACATAATGACGGCAGCGGAGTTCTCTCACCTTAAGTTTCAACTCTCTGTGATATGTTGTGACTGGATTAAATGGCTTAATATCACCGGAGGCCCAGACGCAGTAATTTCTATATAATCCCATTTTAATAAACAGTCAAGGTTATGTAAGTAGAGCTCAGCACAATCTTCTTTGTTCCCTTGTTCCTGGTTGTTGTCAGGCTGTGGAGGGTACCAATAATATAATAATTACAAAATAACACATTTCTTTCCCCTTTTATTGCTTTTTGTGTTTCTTTTCTTTCTTATTTGTATAAACCTTGTGGTCAGAGTTGTCCCGTCCACCTTCCTCATCTTGGTCAGTCAGCCCGATCAAAACTCTTTTATAGTCAATTAGATTACAGATTTCCGTTTGAAATAAAAATAAAATTCTAACACAGCTCTGCCTAGAAAATTATATTTATATACAACTAATTTACAACAGCAAATACATTTGGAGGGATAAAGCTGACTGAATTACATCTTCTATTGACATGACGAGGAAATATTGTTAATTAATGTATCTGGCTATTACATATAATTATATATTATATTGATACCGAAAAAAATTTATTAATATAATATATAATTAATGTCTATTGTATGTTTGTGTATGTGGATATTTAAAGAAGATTATTGCACATTCATTTGTATAAACCTGCAGTAAAGATCAAATAGGCCTGTAATCTGATCTTGTGTATACTGCTGTAGTCCAGCAGTTTGGTCCTGAGGTGCCTGACACACACTTCTTGTGACAGGAAACTGGGGGCTGATGAGATAAAAAGCTTTTGCTGTACATGTAAGGAGGTGATTTCCATTTATAGTCAGAGCACTGCTGCAAAATATATTTTGAATGTGACACTTAACTCACCTCTGCTCAAAATAATTCAACTTGGATGTACACAAATACATTTTAGTCAGACAACACACGTTTGAAATGTTTATTATAGCAGTATAAACCAAGTGTGAACCTATCATAAAGTCACCCATGGGTTTATGGAGAACCGTTTTGAAGCCTTGAGTTCTGCGTTTTGTCCATGACAGTAAAATGGAGCCAGCATGAGCCAGCGGACGTGACGTACTGCAAGTTGATCTGCGCTCATTGGCTGCGCAGTTTTGACTCATCCGTAGCCGGAAACTATGGCGGCTCGCCTGGTTAAACACAATAGTAAAATTGACAATTAAATATGTTTCTGAAACGATTTTAAGTGTGTCTTATTCAGTGCAGTAACAAAATTTAGCTTCATATCTGATCAGCACTGCCTAGTTTGACAGTTTGATCTGAGTTTTGTGGCAGGACAGACTCACTGAGAGTGACCTGTAAATCAAAAGGAAGCCCTGGCCTAATCGTCTTATTTTACTCTAAATTAGACCATAATTTACTAAATGAACATCATGTCTGGAAGTAGACAGACCATCAGGAAACTGTTCTTGTTTGTACTGAGCTCATAAGGAAGTATCAAGTCAGCTTATTCTCCATTAAAGTGAATGGGATCTCTGTTATTGCAGCCAATGGAGCTCCCCCTGCTGGAATTTACATATATATTGTCAATGGTATAAACATAGTAAGATTTTGACATCTAGGCCCAAACCTTATACCAAATACCTTAAATCCCCCAGCTGGAACCTAAAGGTCTTTACAGAACAACAGGCAGCATTAGCAGAGCCATCCACAGAGCAGAGGGAGAGCTGGGAAATTTTATGTTATTTCTTAATTATGAGATGTGTGTGTGTGTGTGTGTGTGTCAGCTGCAGTTAATGGTTATGGTTCGATAAGAGTGAAAGACTTTCT